GTTCGCTGAGGTCGACCCCTTCCAACTCTCCCATCCACACTCGTCTTGTATACTTGTTTCGTCTATCTCCTTTCGTTCATCCTCTCTATATGTCCAAACCATCTCAACATACCTTTCTCAATCCTCGACACTACATCTTCTTTCACTCCACAACGTTCCCTAAAATTAACTTAATAAACTTTACTTAAAGTTTTAAGTCAACTTCGCACTGTTCGTGCGCACCCGAACGTGGTATTTTGTGGAAGAACCACACTCAAGGGGCCAAAGAGCTGCATGTGGCTCGAGAGCCGTGGTTTGCCGACCACTGCCTTAGACCAACTGCTTATGGCATGTCAGCCTCAGGCTCAGGGCATGAATCAGCCCTAGAGCCACATTTACTTTCATTTGTAGTTTAAGTAAAAGTTTACTAAAGACATTAATTTAATAACAAATTATTCTACTTCATTAAATATAGAATCTTACCTAAGGGCACTGCATATCTCTTCAGATCAATCTATTTAAAAAAAAAATTACCATCAATGTTTGACAATCACAAGTCTCAACTGTAAAAGAATTCAAATAATATTAATTCACCTGAGGATGAATTGCCTTTAATGCAAAATCAAAAATCTCCCTTGAAGTCTGGGGATCTGGGGAAAGAAAAGAAGCTCTATTATAAATCATAACATTATCATCTGACAAACCTCACAAATGACTTTACAAGTAACAACTTTATTTCAGACAGCTTGCCATCTATATTAACCCCAACAGTCTCTTGTAAATTCAAGAATAACAACTTCTATCATTAAATTCAACTAGAGAGCTGCAAGTTATTATTACTGCTGCACAATTATTATTTCAGTAAAGTAAGAAGAAAACCTGGAATAATAAAGACATAAGTTTATATTTCAACTTACTTACAAACTGTTAGATAATCTCTGAGCCTCAGTGTTCTTATCTGTAAAAGGGGGCACTATATATTTTATTTTAGAGATGTTTGGAGAATTAAAGAGGGCCAAACACATTATCATTTCCTCAATATGCCCAAGCATTTATTCTACACATAGTAAAAGCCAACTAATTATGGGAATTACAATAATGAAAATATGATCTTTGACCTTAGTAAACATATTATCTAAAAGGAGAGATAAAACAGGCAACCAATTATACTCTGAGGCTCTAATCCTGGCCTGATTGACATCACAGTTATTTGTATAACTGTCTCCCAAGAGGAGTCACTGCAGCTGTGCAGAAATCATGCTTTATTCATCACTGAGTTCTCTGCTCCTGTAACAGTGAATTGCAAACAGCAAAGGTTCAAGAATTGTGTGCTTTGATTGCCAGGATTGATATATTTGAAAACACAGCCCAGATGTGATAAAGGGTGAAGGGGTCAGAGAGAAACACTGGCATGTTTGGAGGATAACGCCATGAAAGACATACAAAAAAAGCTACTTTGGCATACAAAACAAGGAAAGATTTCTTCCGGCAGTGAGCATTCAAGACAGGCTTTATAAGCAAGGTAAGCACCTGAGTTGGACCTAAAAGAATAGGTACACCAGTTGGGGAAAAGGTCATTCAATAGAAAGTGACAGTGTACACAGAAGTGTGCAGACACAGGGCACCAGGCACTTTTGGTCTAGAATGAGTGAGCTTTGTGAACATAGTGGAGCCCAGGGATTCAAGGGCCTGAGTGCTCAGCAGTGGGAATGAACGCCTTCTCAGCCTCCATGCCTTCTCCCAGGCTTTGCTTCCCCTGTCCACTCTCCTGTGCCATCTCTCCTTCTCATGGACTGCTTCCTCTCTGAGCATACTCAACTGAAGCGGCCCTTGTTGAGCTGGACCCACTCTGCCACTCTGGTTTCTTTGCATTCAGACCCCTCCCAGAGTAAGGCAGTACCACACTCCCTCATCCAGATTCTCCTTATATCCTTGCCTTAGTCTCTCTGCTCTTGCTCTCTAGCTAATCTTGCTCACACTCAGAGCTTTACATATTATCTCTATATTGAAGACTTCCTAATTTGTACCTTGAAGTCTAATTTGTCTTGCAAAATCCGGTTTTACACATGCAACTGCACAGTAAACATCTAAGCTTGGATGTTCCATAGGTTCCAGGTTTTTGCCTGAAATCTGGTCCTTTCCCATCCCACCCAGCTTAAAAACCAGATTCAGGCAGTCCCTCTTAAAAGGCAAGCAAACTAATTTACATGGTCCTGCTCCCTTTGAGCTCCAGTGCTTGGCAGGGGCATTGGGGAAGCCAAGGACATCCGAGGAGGAACTGGACTATCTGGCATCGGGGCAGGAACTCGGGGGCAGCTTTCTCCCAGACAGAGGTGCTCACAGGGGTCATTGTTGCTATGCTAAGACCTCTCCCAACACAGAGTGGACTGGCAGCCATATCTGAGTTTCCATCAGCCTGGCCCACACTGTTTACTCTGCCCTGGTGATTCCCTGAGACTTCACCCCAGGCAACTTGAAGCCCTGCCCAAGCAGTTTGCAGATGCTTTTCCATATGAATAGCCTGTCCTGACTCAGGGCCCAGACTTTCCTAAAATCTTTTAAACAAGCAGCATCTAGCATCAGCATGCCCCATACCTATCAATAAGAGGCCCAAGGGCCAGCACTAGCACCAGCCTGCCTTGCTTCACAGCTTGGCCTCACCTGGGCACCTCCAAGCCCAATACAAGTATCAGCCATCTGCAGATCGCTTGGTAGCTCCTGCCAGGTGGCCCCAGGCAGTGGCTGACTTTGCACCTCTCTGGAAGCCCTAGAGCCAGTGCACACGCTGGACAGCTTCAGACCATAACAGATTACCACTCTACACATCCACAAGCACCACACTCAAAGGGCGGACTCAGTGAACACAAAAGCCTCCCTAAAGCAAGTCCTGCTCCATAGAGGTGCACAGCAGCTCTTCCACTGTAGTCACAGCTGTTCCTCACAGCCAATTGGCCTGGACGTCAACTCCTCCAGTGAGGCCAACAGCAATCATAGCTCAACTACAAGACTGTGCACACAGACCACACAGGGGCATACCTAGAGTGCCCAGCTCAAGGGTCTGGGGAGGCTGAGCCACTGGGCCTAACAGGACACCTATTAGACAAGGCCAGGAGACACAGCAGCTCTACCTAATACAGAGAAACAAACATAGGGAAGCAGCCAAAATGAGGAGACAAACAAACATGTCACAGATGAAAAAACATAAGAAATCTCCAGGAAGAGAAATAAATGAAATGGAAGCAAGCAAATTACTGGATACAGAGTTTAAAACAATGTTTATAAGGTTGCTCAATAATCTTTTTTTTCCCCACTTTTTTTTAAAATTTTATTTTATTGTTGCTCAAGAATCTTAATGAGAGCTTCTAGGGACTCAAAAAGATCCTCAAGGGACTTAGGAGACATTCAAGGATCTCAGTGAGAAATTCAAAGACATGAAAAAGGACCAGTCAAAAATTAAGCATACGCTAACTGAAATAAAGAATAATTTGCAGGAATTCAACAATAGAGTAGAGGATTCTGAGAATCATATCAACAATTTGCAATATGAGGAAGCAAAAAACACCTAATCAGAAGAGCAAAAAAAAATCCAAAAATATGAAGATAGTGTAAGTGTATGCTAGAACAACTTCAAGCATACCAACATTCGCATTATGGGGGTTGGAAGGCCAAAAGAGAAAGGTACTGAAAAAATTTGAAGAAATTATGAGAGAAAAATTTCCTGCCTGGCGAAAGAAATGGACTTACAAGTTCAGGAAGCACAGAAAGTCCCAAATAAGAGAAACCCAAAGAGGCCCACACCAAGACACATGATAATTAAAATGCGAAGGGTTAAAGACAGAGAATCTTAAAAGCAGCAAGAGAAAAGCAGTTAGTTACCTACAAGAGAACACCCATATGACTGTTATGTGCCCTGACCGGAAATTGAACTGTGACTTCCTGGTTCTTAGGCCAATGCTCAACCAGTGAGCCATGCTGGCTGGGCTCAAAATACTTTGTGTGTGTGTGTGTGTGTGTGTGTGTGTGTGTGTGTCAAAATACTTTTTATAAGGATGTGCAATGAACTTAGTGAGAACTTTAACAGATAAAAAAGGAGACAGAAAACATAAGTTAAAAGTGAAGAATCTAATAACTGAAATGAAGAATACATTAGATGAAATTTGATAGATTAGATGTTATAGAGGATGGAAAGAGAGATTTGGAAACAAGGTAACAGAAAATGCCCAATCAGAACAGCAAAAAGGAAAAAGAACCTTAAAAAATAAGGGTAGTTTAAGTGACCTCTGGGAAAACATCAAGCATAACAACATTGGGATCACAGGAGTACCAGAAGGAGAGAGATAACAAGGAACTGAAAACCTATTTGAAGAGATAATGACAGGCCCTAGCCCATTTGGCTCAGTGGATAGAGCATCGGCCTGAGGACTGAAGGGTCCCAGGTTCGATTCTGGTCAAGGGCACATGCCCGGTTGCAGGCTGGATCCCCAGTAGGATGTGTGCAGGAAGCAGCCGATCAATGATTCTCATCAATGATGTTTCTATCTATCTCTCCCTCTCCCTCCCTCTCTGAAATCAATAAAAATATATTAAAAAAAAAAAAAGACAAGAAACAATGACAGAATACTTCCCTAACCTGATGAAGGAAATAGACATACAAGATAAACACACAGAGGTCCACACCAAGACACATCATAAGTATAATGCCAAAGGTTAAAGAAAAAGAGAATCTTAAAAGACAGTTACCTGCAAGGGAACTCCCATAAGACTATTATTTGATTTCTCAACAGAAACTTTGCAGGACAGAAGGAATTGGCACAAAATACTTAAAGTGATGAAAAACAAGGACTTAGCCAAAACCGGTTTGGCTCAGTGGATAGAGCGTCGGCCTGCGGACTGAGGGGTCCCGGGTTCGATTCCGGTCAAGGGCATGTACCTGGGTTGCAGGCACATCCCCAGTGGGAGATGTGCAGGAAGCAGCTGATCGATGTTTCTCTCTCATCGATGTTTCTGACTATCTCTCTCCCTTCCTCTCTGTAAAAAATCAATAAAATATATTAAAAAAAAAAAAAAGAAAAACAAGGACTTACAACCATATTTGCTGTCATTTACAATCGAAGCACAGATAAAGAACTTCCCATAGGGGGCAGTGGGGGCTTGGAACTGCCCCCACTTTTTTTTCCTTTTTCAATCAGGGAAAAAGGAGACATATGTAAAACTTTAGACAATAAAAAAAAAAGAACTTCCCATACAAGAAAAAGGTAAAGGAGTTCATCACCAGCAAACTAGTAGTACAAGAAATGTTAAAGGGACATCTTTAACAAGGAGAAAAAAAAAGATAAAAAATATGAAGAATAAGATGGTAATAACTACATACCTATCAATAAACCCTTTAATATACATGGATTAAATGCTACAAGCAAAAGACATAGGGTGGCTGAATGGATAAAAAAAAAACAAGACCCATACATATGCTGGGTCCAAGAGACCCTCTTCAAGATCAAAAGACACACAGAGACTGAAAGTAAAGGAATTGAAATAGATATCGCCTGCAAATAGAAACAAAAACAAAAAAAGCTGTGGTAGCAATACTTACATCATTAAAATAGACTTTAAATCAAAGGCTATAACAAGACACAAAGAAAGAACCAACAATTCCACTTCTGGGTATTTCTCCAAAGAAACTCAGAACACTAATTCAAAAAGACATATGTATCACTATCTTCGCTGCAGCATTACTTACAATAGCCAAGATATGGAAACAACCTAAATGGCCATCAATAGACTAATGAATAAAGTAGAGATGGTACAGACATACAATGGAATAGTCATAAAAAAGAATGAAATCTTGCCTTGGCCAACACAGTTCAGTGGTTAGAGCATCAGCCTACTTACCAGAGGGTCACGGGTTCGATTTCTCGTTAAGGCCACATACCTGGATTCCAGGTTCGAATCCCACCCTCGGTCAGGGTATGTGCAGGAGGCAAACAATCAATGTCTCTCTCTCACATGAATATTTCTTTCTCTCTCTCTCTCCCCCTATGCCCTCCCTTTTACTCTCTCTAGAAATCAATGAAAAAAATATCCATGCCCAGCCAGCGAGGCTCATTGGTTGAGGGTGGACCTATGAACCAGGAGGTTACAGTTTGATCACTGGTTAGGGCACATGCCCAGGTTTTGGGCTCGATCCCCAGTGGAGGCTGTGCAGGAAGCAGCCGATCAATGATTCTCTCTCATCATTAATGTTTCTATCTAACACTTCCTCTCCCTTTCTCTCTGAAATCAATAAAAAAAATTTTAAAAATGAAAGCAGGGACTCCAACAGATATCTGCATACCCATTTTCCAGCAGCATTATTCACAACGAGAGGCCCAGTGCATGAGATTTGTGCCCTCAGGGGGTCCCTCAGCCCGGCCTGTGCTCTCTCACAGTCCGGGAGCCCGTGGGGGATGTCCAATTGCGGCTTAGTGCTGTCAGTCGGACATCCTTAGCATTGCCGCAAAGGCAGGAGAGGCTCCTGCCACTGCCGCTGCGCTTGCCAGCCGTGAGCCCAGCTTCTGGCTGAGCAGCACTCCCCTTGTGGGAGCACACTGACCACTAGGAGGCAGCTCCTGCATTGAGCGTCTTTCCCCTGGTGGTCGGTGCATGTCACAGCGACTGGGGCAGATCGTTCCGGTTGCTCTGGTCGCTTGGTCGTAACAGTCACTTAGGCTTTTATATATATACTAGAGGCCCAGTGCACAACAATTTGTGCACTCGGGGGGAGGGGGGGTCCCTCAGCCCGGCCTGTGCCCTCTCGCAGTCTGGGACCCCTCGGGGGATGTCCGGCTTGTTTCGCCCCCGCCTCCCTCTGCCCCCCGGCCCAGCTTGTT